GCATGGCACGATGCGCAAACAAGTATGATGCATGTCCGGTTTAATGAGGCATGGCATGGCAAAGTGCACAAACAATCCTACAAATTAAGTGGAGCTCATTATACAACGGAGTTGCATATTGAAGAAAACACCACATGACTTATTTAGTTCTCTCTCGTTTATGTACCCAACAAGATTAAATGTTGTTAGCATGGCAAGAGGTGAAGCATGATGAAACTATCTAATCTAGGCAAGTTTAAATGAGTCCGAAACAACAAAACAACAAGTCCGGAAACTCCTCATATGCATATATTAGGTTTGGTACTGTTCTGCCCTAAGCATAATTTTAGAGTTGTTAACCATGCTAGATGAGAGCACCATGTTAAACTAGGCATTTTTCCACCCCATTTACATATAAAGATTATTAAATTCCGAGTTACGGTTATTTAGTTATGAAATAAAGCATTTTAGCATGGCATAGGAGCAAAATTACACAACCAGCTGTTTAAACATTGTTAACATGGATTAAAGTTGCATATTATTAAACTAGATGAAATTCTAAGCAAGTTTCATATATAATTTATTTTAATCCGATGCACGGTTTGTGAGATATTAAATGCATGATCAACAAGGGCTTTTCTGTAAAACTGCAATCTCTGGGATAAAAGGAAAAAAACACAACAGGAAAAAAACACGCATGGGCCGAAACTGGGCAGCCCAATAGTGCAGGGGGGGACTCGGGTGCTGCTCACCACGGGCCTCGGCCCAGAACTGTGGAGAGGAGGAGGCCGGCAGGGTCGCGCTGGGTCGGCCTGTTTGGCTCGATCAAAAGGTCAACGCAGCGTGGCGTCACTTGTCCTCTTCCCTGGTTCAAAAGAAGCAGAGGCAGGGGCGGCACTGCGGCTCCAGCGGGGCAGGACGTCGGCGGACGGCGGAGCGGCATGAATCCGGGCGGGGGTTCGAGGATGACAAGGAGCAGCGGACGGGGAGGACCTGGAGGAGCTCGGGGCCTCAAGTGCAGGAGCAGAGGAGGCCGAGGCGCCATCGCAGGGGAACGGCAACATCGGCGGGGAACTTGGCGGATCCGGCAGGTGGGACGGTGGGGCAACCAGATCCGGGGAAGGCCGACCCATTTCCAGCGACGACGAGGCCGACCGGCGATGGGGCGGCGAGGTGCGGCACTCCAGCGGCGGTGCCTGTCCACGGGCAGCGAGAGGTGAGAGGCTCGGGCGAGTGAGAGGGAGATCGAAGTAGAGGAGCGAGGAGGCAACGAGTGCGGCGCCCTGGGTCAGTGCTCGCCGGTGACGAAATGGCGAGAGGCGACCGCGGCGACCAGCGGTGGTGATCGGGGACTCCAGCGGGAGGTTGCAGGGAGCGGCGGGATCGAGGCTCCCCTGCTCGAGCTCTTGAGCGCGTGCACGTGCACGAGAGCAAGAGGAGGCTGGGCCTTGAGTGGCTGGATCGGGGCCAGGGGCGCTGCTACGCAGGGAGGCCGCCGGTTGGCTTGACGGGGAAAACGAGGAAGGAGGAGGCGGCTTCGGTTGGTGGAAATGGATTCGAAGGGATCCCGAGGTGGATGGCGGCGGCTTGACGGGACAAGTCCCTATATTTTAGGGTTTGTCCAAAAAGACTAGGAGTGGAGTATATATACATCACAGGTTAGGTTAGGGGCTACCTCGTTCCTCCGATCGTAATCGGACGTTCGCGAATAAATAGCTATGGAGTGCAATTAACAAAACGGAGACGTTTTGTAGACGTTTGGGGATGATCGGATCCAAAAGTGGCGATTGTCCGGGTCGCGTCCGGGGAAGTTTCGGACATGCACGTGAGGGGTCGGTTGGAACCTGTGGGCTGTGCAGAAGGGCTCGCGCTGAGAGAAGAGAAGAGAGAGAGACCCATCAACTGTTTTCGGAGACCGAAAACGTCCGACGTTAGACCGGCTATACTGCCGCTATAGTTATCCGTTGGGGCGTTAAACGGACTCCGAATGCAATGAAATTTGGCAGGCGACCTACTGACAACATAAAAACACTGCATGCCAACTTTCAACCCATTCCGAGAACATTTTTCCGGCCACTTATAAAATAATATTTCGGACGTATCGCGGGCGCGTTCAAGTGTGTCTGGGCTCAGAACGGACTGGGGGAACCCGAACGAATGCAAGTTTTGAAAACATGATGATGCAATGGACATGATGACATGACAAAGATGCAACACGCAAGCGAATGACATGGCAAAGACAACGAATAACTGGAAGACACCTGGCGCAACGGTCTCGGGGCGTCACAAAGGGGTTGGACAAAAGTGGTTCGTGCCTATGGCATGCAGGAAGGCACATTATGGACATTTCGCTTCTTCAACACCGTCAGCAGTCAAAATGATTTACACTTCTTTCTTCACCTTTACCGCCTTTAAATATTATGGTTCATCATAGTTAATTGTTGCATAATCCTATAATTACTAAACACATTGTACTGGCAATTTTATTTATGGATTCGTTGTTGAACCATTATGCTGAGAATTTGAATTGCACGTTTCATATTTTAAAATTTCCAATTCGAATAATAAATTACATGCAAAAATAAAAGTATACATGAGCTAATAAAATAATGTGCACACGGTTAGAAAGAAAACAGTATGTGCGATGTAAAAAGAGAACAGACGGTCATGAAACTTTACAAACGGTTCTGGCAGTAAAAGCGCTTGTGATGGATAGCCCAATGTCACACAGTTTTCTACATCAAATCGTGTGTGATGTAGTTCATAAAAGCAAACAGTTAATCAAGGCAGAGCGTGTGTGATAGTTACACCTTTCACACATGAGCGTATACATAAAACTGTGTGAGATGCACATACGAACGGAAACGCTTTCCCTGGATTGACTGTGTGGGATGTACATAAAACGAAAACGTATTCCTTGCAATGACCATGTGTGATATATATACGAACGGAAATGTTTTTCTAGGATTCACCGTGTGGGATGTACATACGAACGAAAATGATTGTGTTTCGATGCCTCGCCCGATCGCACACGAGCTCATTTGGCCCCAGCCTGTATCCTATCCCCGACGATTTCTGAGTCGTGTGGGAAGGACTCCCTATCGCTCACACTCACTTGGCGACGATTTCAAATGCCGTCATGGAAAGGGGTTAAAAACCGTTTGTATAGCACCGACGCGTACCAGTGTATGGGAAAAGCCTTTCATCCTCATCATTTGCAGGCTAGTCGCCAAGAGGTCCCTCTCAATATTTGGGTCAGTAGATTCTCTGCTATTAGTAGGATCTGCATGAGTAGGCTCTTATTATGTTGGTGTTTCTGGTACATGCATAGTGCTCTCTCCCGCATCTCTAACTCTGTCATGACTGCACTAAGGCTGTGAACTATTAGCGATTGTTTTTCTACTCTTGGATTGACTGCTCCTACCTCTAGAACTAGTAGATCGTGATATTCTTCCTATGCTCTCTGCATGTCCTCCTTTTCTTTGTATGTCATTCATTTCTAATTTGACTGGGACACAAACATGCGCTCTAAACATTTTTGCTAGCTCATCATCACAATGGACTGGGACCCAAACAACAGTATCAATGTCCCAGTACCTGAATTCGACTGCATCATGTATTAACTAGGGGAATTTAGCACAAATGAGAGATCTAAATTGGTCAAAATTCAACCCATTGTCCACAACCAAAGGAAATGAGAAGCCTGTTTGGCCTGCTTTTGTACCAGCAAGAACTAGAAGTGTTGTTTGCGTTCTATATTCCAGACAAATATTTCCCCCAAGATCCACCCTATGAATAACCATGAAAAAACAGAAAAATAACTGAACGAAATGAGCATTACAAACGCAGTAACCAACAAATCCAACTACAAGAACTAAGCATAACAAAAAACATGCGTCAGATTTGAAACCATGTCACTTACCCACCGGAGTATCCATCCCTAGCACTGTGCTCCCTTGTTGGCCGCCGCCGCAACCACTGTCGCCCTCCATCCGCAACGGTTGCGTCCTATTCGCAGCACATCACACAAATGGAGTCAGATACGCCAAATATCCACCACGGCCACCATAGATCTAGAGCTTTGCTTGTCGTGGATCGAACGCGCTAGGGTTAGGGTTACCCAGCGAGGCGATCTGCGGGAGAGGATGCGAGCGTGCGGGTCGAGTGAGAGAATGAGAGAGATATAGTGAATCGGTATGTTTGGGCCCACATGTAAAGACGGAGGGGCGAAAATGTCAAAGAAACGGCCAGTTAGTGATCAAACAACCTTGACTGGACGAAAACGACACAAACGGGCATCTTTATAAGTGAAATTGACGGCAGAGAGGCAAATTTGAGCATGCTTTCAAATGGGGGGCAAATCTGAGTAGTGGGTTTGAGTTAGGGGCATACGTGTAAATGTCTCTACATTTTTATGACAAAACATGGTGTTTGTGCTTATGGTTCTTTTTTTTCATGTCAATGGCTCTTTGCCCATTCTACATTTTTTTTGTCGGTGTTGATCAACTCAGTGGCAAACTCAATCAAAAGCTTTTTTGGGGGACATATGTAATTTTATTCATACTCACAACCATTACATGTACGTTGATTTGAATCAAAGATTCAAAAAATTACAAAGTAAGAAGTACAATCAAAATAACCATAATGTTAGCTAGCCAAAATATTAGCCTTTTTTTTTCAGGAGAGCCAATATAATAGCCGGCTAAAGTTTTTTCTTTCGACAGGGCCCTGCTATTTGCGTTCTTTGGTTTTTTCTTAGCGAGGGGGCCTTGCTATTGCGTGAGCCTCTAGGCCGTTGACTAACTGGACTGGCAACATAAGCCTTCACAAGACAGCCCATACGGCCCAATTGAACGTCTGGCCCATTTACCTCATCAAGCAAATCCTAGCCGTCGGTGCTAGGTCACGGCGACGCGGGGAGGCCATTTATACCCGTCACAGCCGCCACGCGCTCGCCCTCCTCTCTCTCCCCCCACTCTTTGCCCAAGCCCCCTACTGCCGGCGGCGGAGACGACGGAAACATGGTGCAGCGCCTGACCTACCGGAAGAGGCACAGCTATGCCACCAAGTCCAACCAGACGCGGGTCGTCAAGACCCCAGGTCTGGATCCCCTCCTCCTCCCCTTCTCCAGACGAATTTCTTTGGTGGCTTCTGATTTGTTCGTGCCAAGATCTTCGCTGAAATCGGTCGGTTTTGTTCCTTGTGTGCCGCAGGTGGTAAGCTAGTGTACCAGTACACCAAGAAGAGGGCGAGCGGCCCCAAGTGCCCTGTGACCGGGAAGAAGATCCAGGGGGTGAGTTGCCGCTTTGCCTTTTGCATCTATATGAAATTCTTGATTGTTTCGCTTTGCCATGATATGGGTATTCGATATCTCTGTTTGTATGGTGGATGAATTGGATTCTTGTGCTTGGGTATTATTTATGTGTGGTAAATGTGGTTTATCTCCATCTTACACATGTATGGTTATCAGCTTTTAGAGTATCTTTTAGGCTTTTACCACACAAATTACCGACTAGATTGTGGTGAGATGCACAATTGGTAGATGCCGATTTGACCTTATCGGGCATCAGATTTATGTTTAGACCGTTTCCTCATATCATTCCTAATTAGTTATTCCTTTTGGTGGTTTGTGGTAGTGCATGGGTATCAAATTAAGAGTTGGTTGTCCGACAGTTGGTACGATGGTGTACGTGGACAGCTGGTTGTGCAGAGTAGCAATGCTGCATTTCAACAATAGTTCAAGTATTTATTTTGATGGCTCAATCATTCTTATTAGATTCTAGTGGTGCCTTTAGACTATAATAAATTTTTAGATCAGTAATGTGTGTTTAAACACTTGGTTGCTCAGTAGTGTTGATTGTATTATACAATCAGATTGGTAGTTATGCATGAGTTTACTACCAGCAAAGCAAACTCTCATAACGGGAATGAATGTCACAGCTCATTTGGTCCTTTTGTGATTTCAACAACTCCATTTGCTCACTCAGCTTGTTTTTATTAGTGAAATGAGATTCTTCTGCCATGCTTGTTTTAAGTTGAGAGGACATTTGTGTTTGAATTTTTGCCTTTTGGTTGAAGAATATTGCAACATGATGGCTCATGATCTGATACTTCCATTTCCAGATTCCCCACCTCAGGCCTACTGAATACAAAAGATCAAGGTTGTCTAGGAACCGCAGGACTGTGAACCGTCCCTATGGTGGAGTGCTCTCTGGAACTGCAGTGAGGGAAAGGTGAGCAAACTTTGCCTTACAACCATCTAATGTCATTACCTCAAACCTATCCTTTATGTAGTCTCATTGGATTCATGTTCTCCTTCAGGATCATCCGCGCTTTCTTGGTTGAGGAGCAGAAGATCGTGAAGAAGGTGTTGAAAATACAGAAGACCAAGGACAAGACGACCTCAAAGTAATCTGTTTGAAACAGAAGTGCGAAGTGCGATGGTGTTCTGTAAACAAGGAAAATATTTTTGTTGGTGGTTATGATCAATGGTTTAGTCCCTTCTAGCTAAATGTTTTAGAGTACTTGAAATCCTTCTGCCGCCGTGACATCAGAGATTGTGAAACATTTGATACCCATTTGCAGTTTCATTTCTGAATGCATGTTGAATCTACTTATGTTAATTTGGTTTCACCTTGCATTCGTGGTTATTGATCTATAACAATTTTTCTGTTCCTCACTCTCATTTCCTTGCTGCCCTGCTCCTTGGATCAGAAAAGTACACTTGAGAAACTTCATCCATTGAACCACTAGATTGTTTTACCATGCCTGTAAATTTTGAAATGAACATTTTTGTTTGCGAGGCTGGAAGGTTCTGGTGAATAGTGCATTTGTTCTAGTAGGATACTCTGGGTCGATTATGGTCCCAGGCTGGTTTGGTTGGACGTGGCTTGGTCGCCTCCATGAAATTGGTGGGAAACTCCATATTAGATACAGAGTTCCATTCACTCAATCCCCGCATTCTAATGAGATAGGCAAAACGTTTGGGCTTCTTTGATTCAAAGGATTTTCAAAGGAATTTTAAAGGATTCTAATCCTTAGGATTTTTTCCTATGTGGGTTGTTTGATTCGTAGGATTGTAAACCGTAGGAATTTTTCCATAGGATTCATTTGCACTAGATTTTATAGGAAATTTACCATCCACTCACAAGATGACATGCCAATCCAATCCCACGTTTTTCCTATTCATGCATTTGGGAAATCCTACGAATCAAAGAGTCCCTTAATAAACTGGAGACGAACATTTGGGGCCTTTGGATTCCAGGAAAGATAAAGTACTTTGCGTGGAAAATTCTTCCTGGAGTGCTTCCTTGTTTTGGGGTTCTATAACTGGGCGCCATATCCTGGATTCACCACAATGTCCAATCTGCTTGGTTGGTGTGGAAGATGTCCAGCATTGTCTTTTCAAATGTAGGCGAGCAAAGGAGGTCTGGTTACATTTTGGCATGTTGGAAATGATTCAAAAGGCCGTGGCCGAAGATATAGGTGAACGCCGAAGCTTCATTTCATATAGAGACACATGCGGGCGCTGCTGGTATAGTTATCCGAGATAATAAAGGTGGTTTTATAGAAGCAACAACTTGGTTCCTACCACATGTTAGCTCTGTCGATTCTGTGGAATTGATAGCAATTGAGAATGGTATGTTCTTGGCGGCTAACATGGGGTGCAACAGTATAGAGATCGAGTCTGGCTGTAGTTTTGCAGTGAACTCTGTGCAACTGATGGACGAGTACTTGGGCCCGAATGTTACAGTCATAATAGAGTGCAACCAAATGGCGATGGAGCTCCGGAGATCTACTTATATGCACCGTTGTCGCGATGCTAATCAAGTTGCTGATGAGTTCGCGAAACACTCTTTTAGATTTATATCTTCCAGCCTTTGGGATTCTTATTATACTGTATTACTGAATTTGTTTCTCATCATCTTGTAAACGGTATGACGATAATATGAGAAATAAAGTCTCTTGCCGCAAAAAAAAAAAAAACTGGAGTTTGTTATATTTGATTCCAAGGACACCCATATGCTACTTGTAGAGTGCATGTTGTAGTTGTTGAGGCATTGGGTCAAAGATACATAGTACTTCGTTTTAATCTACTTGTTTGCCATTTGGACACCACTTTTTTACCCCTCCAATTGGGATTTTTTTTATTTGGAAGGAATTCAAATGCAATCTCTTTATCCCAACGTAATTAGTTTACAAAAATGTGTGCGCTTGCATGGGCTCTACAATAGATTAATCTTTGCATGATCAGCTGATTTTATCATCTTAGCTGGCCATCTGTGGAATTTCTCCAGGGAAAACGGTTAAATTGTTGATCTTATGCTGTGCAAAGATACTTGTGTGATGTTTTGTCCTCCCAAGGCATATTTGTGATGTGATTCCTGCTCTTCATGCAAAATGATTGTTTTAAGACTCAGAACACTGATTTTGTATTTTTTTTCCAAAAAAAAAATCATCTGGAAAGTTGTTTTTTCAATCAAGGCAAGGTAATCGCTGGTTGATCTTCAAATTAGCATTACCCTGCCTGTTTATTTCTTCCGCCATTTGCTAGGGATGCAGGCGGACAGTGTATAATTAGACACAAGGTGTCACGCCCGCAAGTGTATAATTAGAACTGCACAATTATTAAAGCAACAGCCTGTCGCGGACAATGTAGATGCTATTTGCTTGCATCCCTTCCGCCTTTACTAGTTTGTGAAATTCCACTTGTCCTTTGCTTATCAACTTGTGAATTATGGCAGGAAGTGGATGGAATATGACCAGAGGACGCTTAGCTTGCAATAGCTTGAACTGTGATTAGAATTTAGAACATACTCCTACTTTATTCTAGAAGTTGAAAGAAATAACTCTGATGGATATGAAGTTGTACATGAGAAAGTTCTAATCTGCACTACACACTTGGAATTACTCCCTTCGTCTCAATTGTCTCATGGTAATGTTTGGCCAAGTTTATAAAAAAACCAACAACCACAATACCAAATTAATCTCTACTGTTAACGTAATCAACAACAATCAAATAAATCACCGACAGCAGGAAATCACTTGCAAGCGAACAATAAAATCAACTCACATAGTTGTATGTACAAAATCTCAATCATATCATATCTTTCTTTACCTTCGCCTCCTCACAACATATCTCTATCTCAACTGAACCAAAAATTTCCTACGTTGAACCACCAGAATAAAGTTGCTTCCATTGCAATACATGAGTATTTAGCTAGTATTATTGATTAGACAGTTAAAATATTTTTATTGCAACACACGAGTATTTAGCTATCAGTAGCTCTCATTGAGATGAAGATGTACATGTGGAAGTTGCATTAACTTATATCCAACTTAAAAAAAAAAGCTTCAGAAAAATATGTACTAGCATTTTTGGAAAGATATGTTACGAATTTTCGAAGACTGGATTGTGAAAAGAGAACTCTGAGATTACAATAGATAAAACTAGGATGAGAAAGGGCATATATAATTAGCTTTCAAAAGCTTAAACAATGTAGATGCTATCTGCTTGCATCCCTTCCGCCTTTACTAGTTTGTGAAATTCCACTTGTCCTTTGCTTATCAACTTGTGAATTATGGCAGGAAGTGGATGGAATATGACCAGAGGACGCTTAGCTTGCAATAGCTTGAACTGTGATTAGAATTTAGAACATACTCCTACTTTATTCTAGAAGTTGAAAGAAATAACTCTGATGGATATGAAGTTGTACATGAGAAAGTTCTAATCTGCACTACACACTTGGAATTACTCCCTTCGTCTCAATTGTCTCATGGTAATGTTTGGCCAAGTTTATAAAAAAACCAACAACCACAATACCAAATTAATCTCTACTGTTAACGTAATCAACAACAATCAAATAAATCACCGACAGCAGGAAATCACTTGCAAGCGAACAATAAAATCAACTCACATAGTTGTATGTACAAAATCTCAATCATATCATATCTTTCTTTACCTTCGCCTCCTCACAACATATCTCTATCTCAACTGAACCAAAAATTTCCTACGTTGAACCACCAGAATAAAGTTGCTTCCATTGCAATACATGAGTATTTAGCTAGTATTATTGATTAGACAGTTAAAATATTTTTATTGCAACACACGAGTATTTAGCTATCAGTAGCTCTCATTGAGATGAAGATGTACATGTGGAAGTTGCATTAACTTATATCCAACTTAAAAAAAAAAGCTTCAGAAAAATATGTACTAGCATTTTTGGAAAGATATGTTACGAATTTTCGAAGACTGGATTGTGAAAAGAGAACTCTGAGATTACAATAGATAAAACTAGGATGAGAAAGGGCATATATAATTAGCTTTCAAAAGCTTAAAAAAATATGAAAACTGTATGTCAAGAGTGGGATTTGAACCCACGCCCTTTCGGACCAGTACCTGAAACTGGCGCCTTAGACCAACTCGGCCATCTTGACTTGATGCCTCTTGCCTGCAATCAAGCTAAACATTTGCAAGCAGCAATGAGGGCTACCATTCTTATTAGCAGCAAGCACTAACATCTTGGATCTAGAGTAGATTTCTTGAGAATTTCAAATCCAGCACCCTAAAGTAGGCTAGACTTGCATGTTTTTGTGCAACATCACATAGACACTAGCAAGCCGTAGTACGGGACAGACACTCCCATCGCCGTGAAAAATTCAAGTGCAGAAGTTCACCGCCGAGGCGGCGACAGCGCGCGCTCAACCACGCGCCCTCACTCCGGTTGCATCCCCACCCCACGCCGTCTCTGCCCTCCGCCGTCTCGATGCCTCCACGCCTCCCCTCCCCCGCCCTCTCCGCCCACATACGCACGCTCTCCTCCGCCACCCGGGCCGGTGTCCCCCACCTGCTCGACGGAGTGCCGCGCCCGGACTGCCTCGGGCGGCTCCCGCCCGAGCTCGCGGGCTTCGTCCGCTCGCGCGCCGCGGGGCACACGCCCAGCCAGTTCGCCTACGGGAACGCGCTCGCGGCCTGCGCCCCGGCCGCCACGGGCGCCGGGGCGGGCAGTGTCGCCTTCGCGGAGCAGCTCTACTGCGCCGCCTGGAAGGACGGGCTCGCGGGCGACGCCTACGTCTGCAGCGGCATGGTCGACCTGCTCGCCAAGAGCGGCCGCCTCGGGGACGCGCTCAGGGCGTTCGCGGACGGCGACCGCGGGAGCGTGGTCTGCTGGAACGCGGTCATCTCCGGGGCCACGCGCAACGGCGAGCACGGTCTCGCCGTCGAGATGTTCGGCGACATGGCATGGGGCTCCTGCGAGCCCAACTCCTTCACTTACTCCGGTGTCCTCAGTGCCTGTGCGGCAGGTGCGGAGCTGTGCGTCGGGAAGGCAGTGCATGGGCTGGTGCTTCGGCGTGACCCCGAGTACGATGTGTTCATTGGGACGGCGATCGTCAACATGTATGCGAAGTCGGGTGATATGGTCGCTGCCATGAGGGAGTTCTGGAGGATGCCGGTCCGGAATGTGGTATCCTGGACCACCGCGATCGCTGGTTTCGTGCAGCAGGAGGAGCCAGTAGGCGCTGTTCGGCTGCTCAGAGATATGGTCCGGAGTGGCGTGTCGATCAACAAATACACGGCTACTAGCATCTTGCTCGCCTGCTCCCAGATGCACATGATACGAGAGGCTAGCCAGATCCATGGAATGATCATAAAGACAGAGCTGTACTTGGATTACGTTGTCAAGGAGGCTTTGATCTGCACATATGCTAATATTGGGGCTATTGAGTTGTCCGAGAAGGTGTTTGAAGAAGTTGGCAGAGTAAGCAACAAAAGTATCTGGTCGACTTTCATATCTGGGATTAGTAGTCATAACCTACCGAGATCAATTCAGCTGTTAACGAGGATGTTTCGTCAGGGTCTAAGACCAAACGACAAATGCTATGCTTCTATTTTCAGTTCTGTGGACTCAATTGAGCTTGGCAGGCAGCTGCATTCGCTGGTTATAAAAGATGGGTTTGTTCATGGTGTCCTTGTGGGCAGTGCACTCTCCACCATGTACTCTAGATGTGGTGAAATGGAAGATAGCTGCAAGGTCTTTGAAGAAATGCAGGAACGGGATGAAGTCTCATGGACTGCAATGATTGCTGGTTTTGCATCTCATGGCCATTCAGATGAGGCATTCCGACTGTTCAGGAATATGATTCTTGATAACCTTAAGCCTGACCATGTGTCGTTATCTGCCATTCTTTCAGCTTGTAATGGACCAGACTATTTGCTCAAAGGGAAGGAAGTTCATGGACACATTCTTCGTGTCTATGGAGAAACTACGTCTGTTAGCACTTGTTTGGTTTCCATGTATTGCAAATGTCGAGAAGTACAAACAGCTAGAAGAATTTTTGATGCAACTCCATGCAAAGATCAGGTCATGTTGTCTTCAATGGTATCTGGATACTCTACAAATGGTTGCACTGACGAGGCAATCTCATTATTTCAGCTTATGATGGCAGCTGGTTTTCAGATAGATAGGTTCATATGCTCATCTATCCTTAGCCTATGTGCTAACATAGCAAGACCGCTCTATGGAAAACTATTACATGGGTATGCAATTAAGGCAGGAATACTGTCTGATCTATCAGTAAGCAGTTCACTTGTGAAGCTGTACTCCAAAAATGGCAACCTGCATGATTCTCGTAAAGTTTTTGATGAAATAAATTCCCCGGATTTAGTTACTTGGACAGCTATAATTGATGGATATGCTCAGCATGGAAGCGGTCAGGATTCTTTGGAGATGTTTGATTTGATGATTAGGCGTGGAGTGAAACCAGATAATGTTGTACTAGTGAGTATTTTATCTGCTTGCAGCCGTAACGGTTTAGTTGAAGAAGGCTTTAACTACTTTAAATCTATGAGAAACGTGTATGGGCTTGAGCCTGTGTTACATCACTACTGTTGTATGGTTGATTTACTTGGTCGATCTGGGAGGCTTGCAGAGGCAAAAAGTTTTATTGAGAGTATGCCTATGAAGCCTGACCTGATGGTATGGAGCACACTGCTTGCTGCTTGCAGAGTTCATGATGATGCTGTACTTGGACGATTTGTAGAAAATAGGATACGTGAAGATAATTATGACCCAAGCTCTTTTGCAATGCTGTCAAACATTCTAGCAAACTCTGGAGACTGGGAGGAAGTAGCGAGAGTCAGAAAATCATTAAAGGGCAAAAAGAAAGAGCCTGGATTGAGTATGGTGTAAAGTGAAATGGTCAAAGAGTTCTATAAATAAAACTGGAATGCAGCACAGTACATTGACTGAGATGAAATAATGACATCATCTCGGGGAGTTCTGAGAAGAGCGCTAGTTGGTTACATGTAAGCAATGTGCAATGGATATCATTGGTATATTGGATATACTGTTGAGCCTTTTTACACTGTTCACTAGATTTTGCATTGGTAGTTGTTCTAAACCTGTTAGGCATCTGATTAGTGACATTTGTTCCTGATCATGGGGAAGACTTGATGCCTTTCTAAATTTGCACCGACAATACAACTGAGTCAGGCTCTTTGCTGAACTTAATTCGTCATTCACTTTATGATATTTGACATGTAGGGCACACTTATAATTCTCAGGGAAAGTATATGTATTCATAATACTGAAGCACTCAATACATACAACCAAATCTATTTCTCTCTCTATTAGCCTATCTTTTGTACAGGTGGGTAGGATTCACAAAGTATACACTGAGCAGAAAATGTACAAGGGCAATTGCTGACAGAAATGCTAGCAAATGAAGGTTGCTCATCTTCTTGTATTATCTAACTATGTATATTTTTTTTTCCTTCGAGCAGCTATTGGACATCTCTCGGAGAGGCAGGGGGACAATTGAGAGATTCACATGGCACATTGGATATCCAATCATCTGAAGAATGTAACCCCAAATCAAAGGGGAATTTTATTTTGGGTGGAACTCCATACTCATTGCCTGTATTGTGTCCATTGTCAGGTTTTCTTGTATATGGATCTTCGTCCCTATTTCCAATACCTTCATTTGTGTCTATAACCCAATCAACTGCGTACCCGTTGCACTGTTCAGGGTGTTCAAACTCTATCTCTGGCGAGGCTTCATTCATGCTATTGATTATTCCAGGGGCTATGCTGAAAAGCACGGCATCTGATGACCTCTGGAGGGTCTGTGTTTCAAATGGAAAGATGATTGGACCACTATGGATGTCTTTGTCTGATATATGAGTTAAAGACGGACCACGGCTGAAATTTATGACTTTACATGAAGAGCCATTTTGTGAACTGTTGGGTTTCTGCTGCTGCTGCTCATGAAAGTAATGCTGGCTATTGAGCCGACTCACAGGTATTGCAACTTCTGCTGAGCAAGGGGAGCTTTCGAAAGCAAAATGTGAAGCTTGTATGGATTGCAGGGCAGATAAGAGATCTGGCTCTATTGTTGCAGTTGACTGAGGACCCCAGGAGTGGGATAGCGCTCTTTGTGCCATTGAACTAGGCTTTTTAAATATCCTACAAATAGCCCAGGCATCCTGTCATCAGAAGATATACATCATATATCGAGATATTTTTGGAATTTTAGCACTATAAGTAAATGTTTTGAATAAGAGGCTTACATTGGCTGGAATGTTTTTGTCTATTGGTACTTTAGGAAGTGATGGATCAGTTAGTGAAGGAAGCCTGAACTCATGCATCATCCAGTCAGTCTTGATCCCTTTTGCTGCTCTCCCTTTATAAAAGACAAGAGACTTCTTCAGGCCTATGCACTTGGTTCCCTCGGAGGAGTAAATGGGCCTATCTGTTCCTGTTGCTTTCCAGAATCCAGCTCCTGTGACTCTGTTTGGTCTAGCACTATTACGGTACTTCCGGTCCCTTGGGCAGTAGAAATACCATTCTTTTTCCCCAGAACTTGCAAGTTCTAAGTGAGAGCAAGGTAATGAATAAAATATCAGAGAAAGTAAAGGTGAATAATCCAATGCAATGAAGTAATGTTTGCAGATATTTAAGGTGGATAACTATATTTAGTTTGGTTTTCTGATGAGAAGGTTCTTAAGTATTAGTGTAAAAAATGCTCTTATATTATGAAAATAATGTCTATGTTTTGTGCGACTTTTGCTATAATTATGGTTACTATTGTATTTTGAATATGTTGCATGCATACATAATGGATATGCACAATCTTGGATCTTCTGTGCTCCGTCTGAGTATGATATGGTCTTATTTACCATGACCACTAGTTTACTCATGGCTTGAAATATTGCTAGAAGATTGCCCAACTTGTATTAAGAGTAAAACTTTGTACTGAAGTGTATCAGAAATCACGAGTTCTCTCTCTTGTTCGTTTTAACTTTCATATAGGTTAACTATGAAGACTGTATCTTTGCTCTGTAGTTTCCCAAAAGTAAGGAGGCTATGAGTTTATCTTCCATGCATTCGGCAGAAGCAAGATGGTGAGTGTGGAATAATTTTGAAATTCTATCTCATCTCTAACGTGGGGCATAATATCTGGTGTCTGCATGTTACTAGAGAGAGATGTCTTCCATTCATTCTATTGATAGATAAATGCAAAATTGTATATGCTGGCATTTATTTGGTTATTTGAAGCTAAAGCCTTTACAAGATCAAAGTTCCTTGTTGCTCCATTCAGTAACAAATAAGAACAAACCAAATAAGAACAATACAGAGAAGGTAGCAGCTTACTTGGAAGATCCCATGGGTCATATTTGTAGATGTCCAGCTGCCTGATGAGCTCAATTGAAAGGGGTTTCTGCTGAATCTTTCGCTTGAGATAAAAACCTACCAGCTCTTCATCTGTCGGATGAAACCGGAAACCAGGCAGAAGTACCTCCTCTGACTTGTCCATATCACTTCTCTCATCCATGCCTAACAAGGGTGAAGCCTGATACAGGTTGCACTGCTCTTGTATTACCTATATGGATGTAGTGTATGGTTTTAGGGTCCAAGTTGCCTAGGTGAAGACAAACTCACGAATCTGTCTCTCTAATACAGTGCAAGGACTTATCAACTATGCACGGTCTACTATTTATATCCCTTGTTTGTGGCTTTGTGCTTGTGCAAAGATGGCAAAACTCTTACTGGCAGTTATCTAATATGGTACAGGAATTTATCAACCCAGAAAAAAATACAGAGATGGCTTGATGGACCTAAATATATGGGAAAGAAGAATGAATAGAAGACGAAGGTATCATGTGTAACTTGAGGACATGAGGTAGGAAACTAGTACTTATATAACTACTGTGTAAGATTAACTGTTTTTCTGTCAGATTTCTAGGCTCCTATTATATGCCTTGTATTCCAGGTCATAAACGATAGTCGGCAAGGGGAGTTTAACATACCCTTTATGAAAGAAGTTACAGCTGCTTAAACATGACTAGATGAGGCCCACAACTCTGAAGCCCCTCTTGCAATAAGATAATATTTTATCCAGTCTCCTTTTGAATCTATTGGATTTATTTAATCAAGGATTAGTATCTCAATGAAGACAAACTTGGCAACATATATGGGGATTATTTGTCCCTTTCACTTCAGACCTAAATTATGATCTAGGACACCCTAAACAACCCCTAAAAAACATTCATAAACAGGTATGGTCTGAACAGTTTCTTTAGTACTCCCTCCATTCACAGATATAAGATGTTCTAACTTTTTAGTGAATTGGATGTATACAAACATGTTTTAGTGTGTTTGTTCACTCATTTCAGTCCGTATATAGTCCATATTGAAATATCCAAAACACCTTATATTTCTGAACGGAGGGAGTACGCTTTGGAAGCTAAACACTTTCAAATACATCAACACCACAATCCAGGATTTATTCTTGCTAGATTAATTTTCTTGAAGAATACCAATACATATTCCTCCATTCTCTGGTTTAGAAACTCCCTTGTATATAGAAAAGGATATCTCTTCTTACTACACATCATTTTCAGTACATATACGCTATTACGCTTCTGGTTGCATTCGAGATTTACTTTGCATAAAAAATTCCTTCTCTTTTACGGAATCATTTCTCACCACTGTCTAATTTGTTCTCACTAGGATGATCCATTTTGCACGTACTGGAGCAACGGTTAGCTTATTTCTACTGTTAACATCATTGATGGAAATTTGGATGAAAGTTGATGTGACAACAGATGTACACGTACCTATGAATTTGTGATTGCTACTTTTTGTTCTAAACCTGTGCAATAGCTTAACTGAAAAGGCGGGGTAACTGTTTAAAAACTGCACTGTGGGGAAACCTTCATCCCAGTTAATGCCATTAAAAAATAATCATCGTCATCTCCTGACAATGATAGCCTTAGCAGTGTAATTGCCTTCAGTTTTCTACCAAGAATCGTATAACTCACTGCAAACTGTTGTCGCATATATTGATATATATATCAACTTTTATTTCACAATCAGTCATTGTCGTAGAATCAATCTCAGCTTGCTTGAGTGCTTTATCATATGTTCTGGTCCATCACCAATTGTATACAGTTCATTGCTCATTATTTTATAAGATCCCGTTTTTAAGTATCACAGTTAGCATAGTTAAATATGATGACTTGGTCATACATGATCTTGTACAGCCTCTCTTTCTGTCAAAGGTATCCCCATTTTTTTTGCCATGCTACTTTCTGTATCATCTTTCCTGCGCTGAATCAGCTGACATAATAATCATGCCAACGGCTTAAAGACAAGATTTTGGCCATGTTACAACTTACAAATAACTTAGTACCAAAAATAACTCAGAAATTTCCCATGCCTCCCCAATTCCAGGCAGGATATTACCACCCAATCAATTCCATGTTTTTGAAAACAAAACATGATCACGTTCACAACTCTTGTCTTCTACCATGATCCACATCGGGAGATGGTTTGGGTTGAACTCTTCAAACGCATACCTTCTTGATGTCCTTGTCGCATTCTTGGTTTGTAGTTCTTGGAGCACCAGAACGTTCTTGCCAAAGGGGCATTATCTTTGTTTTATTGCCTAATCTGCGGGTTGGATTTTTCCTTTTCCAACTTTTGTGAACTTGCTAAAAATAGAGCACACACCAACAAATGCATGTTTAGGACTCTGCAATCTACGTTATGGTACCATATCTTCCAACCTGTGCTAGATTTTGTATCGAGGGTCGTATCTTCTGTTTGTTTGATAAGAAAAAGAGTCCCAGCTTTTGAGTCTTTGGGATTATCAATCCAAATGTGCGTCAAGCTACAGTGCTGGAAATTTGCAGCCAAAGTGTGCCATTGGAGAGCTTACAGATGTTCCATATCTTATATCTTAGGAGCATATAAAAACAGATACTTACTGAGTTACTGTGAAATGTAAAAGGAAATTTGACCATTTCATCTTAACAACTCTGGCCCTGGATTACATTCGCATTTGCAAAGCTGGTTAAATACGAGTCATTAGAGCTTCCATGAATCAGATAGTTTTTAGAAAGGAAATGAAAAATCAACTCCAGTTTTTATGCATTCCTTTTCCTACAACCCTATTGAGCAAATATGTGGTGCCAGCAACACATATCTTGCTAATTTACTATCTTCAAAGGAGCATTTTTCATGCATCCTCATAATTTGTTTGTCCATGCACACTACAGAACTTACATTGCACGGCCTAAATTATTTTTTTGGCTGAAATGGACTGGCCCAGAAAGCAACATCTGACCTCCCGATAGTATAATGAAGCCGTTAACATCAACCTCTTTACTCAAAAGAAGTTACTAGATAGGACAAACCAGAGCATGTCAATCATGTAGCAAAGAAAGAACAACTTGGTGCATACCTGCAGTTCCCTCCATTCACACAGTACATCCATAAGAAAAAACAATAGAAAATGCCAGTGAGATAGATTTATTGGTATAAGTTTTACTTAATGCACCTAGCATGGTATGAACATCCATTGCCCACTTGCAAGGAAGAACCATTACTTGAGCCAACCTGAAAGCCACGTACAACGCATTTCTTATAGCAATAACCGTATTTTCTATTTGTATGATTGAACATTTTCCACCACGTAGGTTGGCAGTAGTATGAAACGAACCATACATAATCATATTTTGTAAGACATCTTGTAGACCATACATTGTGTGCCTTGCCGAGTAAGATCATACACTAAGCAGTCGAATAAAGGAAAGCTCATTGTTCTTCCAGATCTTTTTGCAGAAGTTACTCAAGGATATGCACAAAGCTAAAATCTGGACGGTTATAAAGACTTCAAGACGCCCCCAATAGCTCCTTGATATCGTATCCTTGCAACTGAAGCAATAAAAGATCATATGTCAGTTACATAGGAAGAAGGGAACATGAATTAGCTGCCCCTGTTCATGTGCTATTCTGCATGTTAATCAACTCATAATTTCCTTAGCATTTTCATCCAGCAAATTACTGACACAAATGATAAGACGTACCTGAAGAAAGGTTAGCAGTAGTATAACTCCCGAGTTCCAAAATGCATGTATTGTAATAGGAGCTAGAAGATTGCGAGTTTGAGCATATGTAAACCCCAGTGCAACACCTGCGGAACATTTAGAAAATTTGTATCAACATAATGGTAAAACTGATAATTTGTCCTGAAGAAGACACCACTGACAGACTGTAGTCCTCAGACCAAATTTCACAAAATGTTGCATGTTGTGCTTGTTCTTTGTTTCATCGTAACAGCTTCGTCTGTCACATTTCTGTAGCCAGTTTTGGCTTCTTTCTTTAGAAGAGAAGACAACAATTATAACATACCACATAACGGTTACACCAGATGTAAACACAACAGCTGATATTGAATATTGTTCACATCAGGATAACTACCACCTAATCTGATCCCATAAGACTTGAGACTAACTGGGAACTAATTCAAGTCCTATACTACCTCTTTCCTAATTATCCTGAACTGCTGCCCCACCATCAATTTCCTGCTACCAGATAGACTGATATGGGGACTTTATCTCTAACATGAAGCTCCCCTAAATATGTGTGCACTGGACTCGCTACTGGTGGCAGGGTGCCATGCGCTGCTGGTTTGCCCCCAATATGGGGAAGTCCCAACAGCAGCATCCCATACAGCAACATGGACCATATGGCAAAGTTTGTCGGCAACTAAGGGCCTCTTTGATTCGCAGGGTTATAAAAACGCGGGAACAGGAAAAACATAGGATGGAATGTCATCTGATTTCAATCCTACAGGATTTTGGGTTGTTTGATTGCATCATTGAAAAAACAAAGGATTCTTTCAAAGAGGTTTGAGTGGATGCTAGAAATCCTATGGGAGGTAGTAGAAAGAAATCCTTAGGAAAAATTCCGATAGGATTCAATCCTATGAATCAAACAACTAACATAGGAAAAATTCCTAAGGATTCTAATCCCTAAAATTTCCTAAGAAAATACTTTGAATCAAAGGAGCCCTAAGTATGTTCATGCACAGATGGCAAAAATGGAATTCACTTGGTTTTCCACATTAGTTCTGAGTCTCCTAGAAAATTACCAAGTACAAACAGTTGTGGGAATTGATCAGGTGTCAAATGAGCGAAGGCAAATACAGCAGCACTGAGAATCACGCAGACTGGAGTAGGAAACCTGTACCAATAGCAAACTATTCAATACACCGACATGCAAAACTGCAGGCTCTAGAAAAATAAATACAATATCAACTTTTACCACTTAGTCAAGGACACCATTAGAAATCCTCGGAACACAGTCTCCTCCAGAATTGGTGCTAGAACTCCAGTTATTCCCACCAAATAGGCAGTGCTACCAATTTTAAAATTTGAAAAATAAATAAAGTTCTGATAGCCTGGTGTATAGACAGCCGGCAAGTAAAACAAAAAAGCTAGTGAGATGCTACCTGAGAGTTGATGAGCCAATTAGGGGCAGTAAAAGGACCAGTGAGTCCTTCTGCGATAACAAAGAGAGAGTCCAGAAATAGATCAGTAGTCATGTAGTAGTACCCACTACCCATTAAATGGGTTAACTGCAGTAGTTGTACAACATATAGGTATAAAAAAATTGAACATCCAAAATTATAAGGCATCTCAGAGAAATCAATTGCCAACCGAAAATAAGAGAATCTATGTTTCCAAATGTTTAACAACATAGCTCTCTGTTCTGGCAAATGTATCTTTTGATTTGACAATAGTTTCGTACTAACTCCAAAGTATAGGACAGTCTTTCTTTTTTGACAGAGAACATATAGAACAGTCTCAGGTTATGAATATATTGAGTAAGTCTTGCATGAGTAAAAGTGATTACATAAAGATACGTCAAAAGATTGGTCATATGAAAACAAAACAGATTCTTAGGAAGAACTTTTACATTTGGCATATTCTGAACTGTCCAACAAAATGCTTTATTTACCATTTTACTTTTCAATGAACAAATCGGGGTGCAAATTAAAGGTGAATGGAGTCAGACTAGTGTAAGTCTATAAGGTGACAGAAGTGTAAGGAGCAACGGTTAATAGATGATGATGCACAAGAAAAGTCTGTCTGCTAAACGCATATGACAGAGCCTGACCTCTCTCTCTGGAGGTGCACCATTCAGATAGGTCATGGCAGCTCCAACTAAAGCAATGGAAATGACTGCACCAAAGAGGCCAATACCAGCCCACAGAAGCCAGCCATTTTGCAGCTTGAATGGTTCTTTGACATCTGAAAGGTCAAAATTACAATGTCAACTTACTTCAACAACAACAACAACAACAAAGCCTTTAGTCCCAAACACAGTGTCAACTTACTTCCTACCAAAAAATCACAAAAATAATCTTTGACCTTGACTAAAGTGTTAAAAGCAGCATTCATGAAAAAGAGGAACTCTTAAATTCATAGTTACAAGGAAACTCCAGTTGCAGTAAATAACCGACAGCACTTCTGACAGTTGAAAAAATTAGTCTACAGGAAAGAATGCACCACTCTCTTTGCACAAGATAAAATGAACTAAAAGTAAGCATATTAATAAGATAATGTCCTGACCGTAACGGAAGACATCATCAGGGAATGGTCGGAAGGTATTGGTGATGCTAAATATAACACCAAGCACAACAGCAGTCACGCTACTGCATAAGACAACAAAAATAAACAGAATTGAATATTTTGAAATGGGCAACATCCATCCTTTCGTATGTACACACTACCATAAAAAGTATCAAGCAAGAATAGATCCATACAGTTGTCCGAGGAACAGTATTTCTGCCTTCTCATCTATAGTTGCCCCCGCGGCTGAAAACCCTACGTATTGCAATATTGACTGCTCAACCAATCCTGTCAGAGCAAAGCTGTCTAAAGAACGCTCAGGATACTTTCTTAGGGTTAACATGCCAAACTGCAAATAGGCATCACCAACCACAACCAGCATGCATATACAAGATAGATACTTATTTGAAAATAACCATCCGGTGTGCAGGATAAGAGTACCTTACTCCACAGCCCACCATGCTGAGCACAACAGTTTGCCACTCCCACGGCACATCCCACCGGCGAAGGATGGGCCACTCGTTCGAATCCTGCTTACATCCAAATAACGCAACAGAGTCTGATTGTCAGCAGGACAAGATCAGAAAGGCAGGCATATTCACAGTCCAACTAGAGTTCAGTAAGTTTCCATGGCTAGATAATATCGTTGCACATAGATTGATGTTTCACCGATGCATCGGCCACATTTTTCTATTGATGCACTGGACGTATTTCAAATTTCAACACTAGTTCTTCTGTTCTTTCAAGAAGCTAAATTCTGCACCAAGCAACAAGAAGCACTGCTGCTAGCCTCAGTAGGGTAGGGCATCAAGAAATGGAGCGGCGGCGCATCACCTTATCGGAAGGCGGGGGCGGGTTGTTGTAGGATAAGCACGCGAAGTCTCTGCCGCTCCTCGAGCTCCTGCTCCAGCGGCCGGTCTCCGGCGGCCGCAGCAACCGCTGCTGAGCTCCTGCTGCTGCTGAAGCTGCCAGGCGGCCGGTTCTTGGGGTGGGAAATGGCTTCCTGTGCTTTGAGAGGAGGAGGGATCTGCATGGGAGCGGCCGGAGGAGGACAAGAGAGAGCGGAGACGACGACGTGGAGGCCATCGGAAAGGGGGGCGCTTCTCACTCCTCTGCTCTCTCTGCTCGCTGGGGAAGGAAGCCTCACGGCGACACGGCCTCGTGGGGATAAGGTGAGGACCTTTCTGTAAATTGGATAAAACGCAAGTGCAAAGCCGGAAAACGTAGACGGGAGACCCCTTCGTTTATTTGCCGTATAACTCGGGGTCCATGTTGCAAAGTGCAATACGCCCGTTCTTTTACTGCGAGGCCTCCGCGCTCGTGGGCAACGGCGGCGGCGATGGCGACGTCGGCGAGCACGTCCGGCGAGTGGCTGAAGGGCGCCCTGCAGGAACTGAGGGGCCGCACGGGGAGCGCCCTGGAGCTCGACGACGGCCTCATCTCCGGCCTCGTCTCCTTCTGCGAACTCGCGCCTCCGCCCGACGCGGCCGATTACCTCGCGGTCCGTACCCCCGCCACACGCCCCTCCGTCACCGGAACGATAGCGTACAGCACATGATCCATGTCGCGTCGCGCTTGGCCTTCTGATTTGAGCTTGCTGCGCGTGTGCGCTTGGTTGGCGCGGCGGCCTGATCTGCATCCGGTTGGGGGGTTTCTCAGATTAGGGTTTGTGCGGTTTTTAGTAAATTTGGCTGACGTTAGGGTTGGTTTCATGTCAGATCAACCTTCAGAGCTTGAAGATAATTGTTAGTAGTTTTGATAGTCTGGTTGCTGCATTGTGCCACTGGCAGTTTGCTATTTCTGGTTGAGGGTTGTCTGTTGGTTTTAAACTGATGAATGATCAAAGCGTGTCATGTTAGACTTGTATGCGGCTAGTGGAGAACATGGTGCTTAACGAATCATATCATCATGAATCCCATTTTGTAACCTAATGTGTTGTGAGTATGTTTCAAGCATCTTATCTGTTCTATGTACTTAATATATGCATATGTGCATGTTCGCTGGCAGTGTAGAGCTTGAGATGTAGTTACATCTCTAAGGGAAACTTAGACTAGTGCATAGTTAGCCTGCCCTTGTCTTGCTGATCTGATCGACACATGTATTGTGGTGTATGATGAAAATGATTTGCTTTCTTGTGAACATGTACATTGACTATTGGTTTGGCAGTGCGTCTACATATCTTTTGCGGAGCATCTCGAATATAGTTGAAAGGATGACCTGGGCATATTCAGCCCAAATACCATCATCATCAAACTAATGTGTGCCCTTGACACCCGTGTCACTGTAGTGTTGCATTAACCTTTCTCAATTGAGCGTTGTGCATGGCTTTCTCAAATTTTATGTGTGGCCATTTTGTGTTATAAAGGAGCTCTAGTTCCATTTTTTAAATTCGTTTGGAATTGTACCTGTACATACTCCAGACTGCTTCTTCTGAGTGACACCACTGTTTATGAGCTTATCATGTTTTATATTATGCACACGCCATGAACGTGGAAACTACTGTTACTTAGGTGAAGTAAAATGTTGATCGTTCTATGTGTTCAATTCTGCAGAATATTGTTGGAGCAGAAGCTGCTCAGGACCTCATTCAGGAGTACTTGCAGAGGAGGGGCTACATTGATCCCTCAAAAGGAGCTGGAAGCTCGCAGTCGTCTAACCTTCAGCCTTATTTGAAGCCATCTGCTGATGCAGCAACTGCCCAAACAAAGAAACAGACACGTACACAAAAAGATCCAGCATCTTCTTCTAGTCAGAGTTCCAAGATTCAATCAGATGCTGCTGAGACCCATGCTGCCTCCAAGAGAGGTCCAAAAAAGAAGGGAGGAAAGGCCATCTCCCTTGCTGAGGCAGCAAAGGGTTCTATTGTCTTCAAGCAGGGGAAACCTTGTTCATGCCAAGCACGGCTGCACAATCTTGTTAGCAACTGCCTATCATGTGGAAAAATTGTGTGTGAACAAGAGGGCGAAGGACCATGTAGTTTCTGTGGCTCACTTGTCTTGATGGAAGGTAGTACATATGCGGGTTTAAGTGATGTTGGAGTTCCTCTTTCGGACACAGAAGTTGCAGCTGAAGCTTATGCAAAAAGGCTTGTTGACTATGACAGAAACTCTGCGGCAAGAACTAAAGTTTATGATGACCAAAGTGACTATTTTGAAATGGAAGGAAATAGTTGGCTCTCATCTAAGGTAATCGACGTTTGATTGTTTCTATTTCATTGTTCCATCCATCTCATCCCTTGTGGCTCATACTCATATATATCCACTCATTCCGATTCTTTCCCATTTGTTGATCTTCACTGTCCTTTATTTTAGTGATTAAGTCATACCGAAAGAATTTTAGCTATTAACCGAAATTTGCATACGACACCTAGCCATAATGTGAAAATTTATGTTTATATTTTTTATAGGATTTATTTATGCAATGTATTTTTCTTTAGTGCTCAGAATCAGCCCATTTCAGCAATCAACTCTAGAGTCATTTATTCCTAAAAATTATGCATATATCATCTATTTTATGCGTATATATGATAAAAGATGTAATTTGATGGATTAGAGAATGATAGGATGTTATGTGACTGTTTTTTAGGATATTGAAAAGCAAGTTGTTCTAATTGGATGATATATACAAAGACATTTATTGCAGTTCTCTGTTTTTCTTGCTTCAGGAAAAGACAAACCTAAAGAAGGTGCACGACGAAGCTCAGGATGCAGCTGAAAAACAAAAGGGGAAAGTGACGGTCACATTTGATTTGGTGGGCCGTAAGGTAGTAACTCGTTCCTGCAGGCTCGGTTCACAGTTTGGAAGCTTTCAATAAGAAAAAGAAACATTTCGATGCCGATATAATTTTGCAAGTATCTTCTGCAGGTAATTTTGAACAGTGATGAAGCGGCAGAGTCGGAATCTGACCAAGGGATCATGAGACCACTAGAACAGAAGCATCAGGTTCAACGCATACAGCCCAGCCCCTCGATCAGAGAGCAACCAGTCTTCGTTGAAACAGGACCTGTGAAGCCAAGAACTGACAGGGTAAAACAGAGCAAGAAACTCGGAAAGAATGGCTTGTGCCTGGAGGTAACCGGAAGGGTGCAGCATGATGACAAGGATCCCCAGAGCTTTCTTGGTGGCAAGATGAAGAAGGGTGATCATCTCGCGTACAGTTCCTTCGGTCAAGTTCGTGAAGGTGATGACTATGAGTGCTCCCTTGATTTTGATTGAGTGGTAGCTGCGAATTTTGATGCGCTCGAGTGCCTTCACATTGTACTTAATTATCCCATTTCATACGGGTTGGATTGTGGTCTGGTCAAGTTTCCAGCTAGAGGTATTTTGGAAAGTTGTCAGGCCGGGTAGGCTTTGTGGGGTCTTGAACCTTATAAGCAGAAGGTCAAGCACTGAGGTTAAAAAAATTATGACCCTAAATCCAAGTATTTTATCAGTAATGTTGCCTTGTTCTGGCCAAAGTATGTTCTGGATCGGCGAACTCTGTAGTGCTATCTGTACAATCTTGCACTTCAAAACGGCATTTGGAAAACAGCAACTACGCCACGTCTTTCGTGAATTTCACTGGATAATTTACAGGCAAGCTCTTGCATTGTCTACCCTTTATTTTGAGAACTGCCCGTTAGGCATTTTATTCGTTCAAGCGGATCATATCTGATTGAACAGGCTCAATCAGAAACTCAGGGATTACATCAAAAGTACACTGATTAACATCTAAGGAAAAGGAGTGTAGCAGAAAGCTGAGCGGCCACATTGACCTTCCTATACAAGTGTAGACAAGTTTGAATCCCTGAAAACTCGAGACATAAGACCACATCTCTCTGAAAACTTGCCATCCGACGCACATGTCATCACCTTGCATCCACAAGTTGCAAAGGTTTTGACAATCAGACTCAATTATTACATGAGACAACGATTTGTCCATAGTTAGTCACATAGCATCACGGTAAGCCAATAACTCTGAGATAAAAGGATTATCTGTATAAACGCATGGTTGTGTCTGTCACCGACAAGTATTTCGAAGGTTCTAAAAAGATGAGCGATCATGACGCAGAACTGGCAAAAAGTTGTCGAGGACGCCATGATGAAAGAAGATGAAAAGACTCTGTTCAGGTTCCTTCAGGTCAACATGACCAGTGGTCTGATGCTTCATTGGCCCATGTGATGAACCCTGATTGAATGGCAGACTAGGATATGTATGTAGTATCCAGTATGAACTTATGTGTTAACGGTAGGTGTTATGCAGTAATGAACTTTGTAGTATCAACTTTTGGGTCTAACTGTATATGAAGATCATCCACCTTGTATTTTGTGACCTACTTGGCATGTAAATGTACATATATGTGGCCTGTAGTGTAACCATCCTGCTACCCTCCTTCAAAATGTACTAGCTTGGCAATCAATACTGCGATTTTGCTATTTTTTTATTCACTACACTAAGGGCTACGATACACTCAGCTCATTTCACACCAGAATATAAAATATGCTATTCTGAGACTCTAAATCAAATTTTCAATCCAACATTTATATTTGGACTAGAATTTTGCCCAACATTTGATATATGGTCGTAAAAATATGACTATAATGTCAAAATGGTGTTTCTTCTTTTAGTAGAATTTCGAAAAGATGCAATTTCCTGAAAAGCAAATTTAACCCTTTTTCATATGGATTGCATGTTAGTTTCATATTTTGACCAGAATTTCATCAAAATTACGAATTTTGCACGTAAAAAAGGATAAAATTTATGAAAATCAGCATGCTATTTTCAAATCTAAAAAATAAGGGTTCTGTTTTGATCGAAATGCTAAAATTTCAGCGCAAAAATATTATATATTATTTAAAATGAACATGCTTATTTCTGATTTGACAAGAAAGCATGATTTCAAAATATCACCCATTTTTTCATATTTCGAAAATGAAGTTTCTATTTTAACCTGCATGCTATTTACAGTTCTCGAAAACGAGGGTTCTATTTTGACCAAAACACTTAAATTTCAGCGCAAAAATATTATATATTGTTTAAAATGAACATGCTTATTTCATATTTCAAAATCAACAATTTTCAAGATAGCATGATTTCAAAATAGCAC